ACTCTCTTCCATCAAATTTTGTTACTTCTGAAGACAATACATTAAAAGTGGCATTACCGTTATCGTTATCAAAAAATTGTAATGTCATTATCATAATCGTAACTATAATTATAATTACGATTATGATAATAACATTATAATTTTTAATCTGCGCTCCAGTATTAGTGCACTTCTCGCCCTGATAAAATAAACGGCAAGATTCACGAAACGGCTTTAGCAATGGACAAAAACATGGCGATAATCCGTAAACCTTCTAGCATTTTTAAAGATAATAGTGTAAGTCTAAAAAGCGTTAGCCAATAGGAAAGTTATCGGCATTTCGGCTCAGATCAAAGAAATGCGCTACTTTTATTAATATAGAGCTTTAATGTAATATTGGCTTTAAATCGTACCTTTATTACTGTCAACTGAGTGGCCATTACGAGAAACTAGTACAATCAGAGAGGAAAGCTCATAATAATCATAGTTTGTAATAAGCGTCATAATTGAAGTGCAGATTGTCCGCCGAACTGTTCGCTAACTGTCATCACTAAGATAGCGCGACATTGTATTGAATTACAGCAATCGACGTTCAGTTCAAGGATAATCAAGATCGTCCGGCATTGATAGAAGAAATAAGAGATTTCTCATGTCGTAATCACTGTAATGAAAATAATCGATAATAAATTTTATTCATGCAGTTAACGTCCGATTTAATTTGTTTCGATAGAAATTATTCTAACGAAATCTGTGAAACTAAAATAAGTAGTTATTTTTTGCTGAAAAAAATTAGTGGCTTCTTCATGGAAATATTGTATTTTAAGAACATTCTATATACAAAACGATCAATTGCGTACATTATTCTATTCATCTATTTATGGGATACTGTTCACCATAACGCTATCGACGACGAGACAAAGTGGATGAAATGAACCGAAATATCCTTTTGCATTCTATTCTCAGCGTTTCTTGGTTATTTTACGCGTTGATGGCGCCTGTTTCGAGTAAACGGCATAAAGATAGAACCGAAATCAAGGCCGGTTCCGCTTTATTACAGCGGTGTTCGAACGTGCTATCGATTGTTTGCACTTTAACCGTGCTTCGACAAAGGCTAACAGCAACGAGTATCGTACCTCGTTGTCGTTCTTGCAGGTCACAGTTTGTCGGGTTCTCTTTATTTTTAGCGATGTTTTATTTCCCCAGTGACATTTAGGTATTTTTCATTCTATAACGTTTACTACATGAAACAGGCAATCCTGCGAAGGCAACAATTTGCGACATACAGCCGAGCAACGAAAGGCTCGCGTTCTTTCGATAGCTTTTTTCGATTTCTTTGTACATATTGAAGCTACTTTGTTATTTATGATGCATACCACAAAGAGATATCAAACGTTCAAAGTATATATCCGATAGAATACAGTATTGACAAAAATAATAAGCGAGGTGAATCTTGTTAAACTTAATGGTTGTAATTGGATTTGTTATGAAAGTACTTACTTCATTATCATTTATTTGAAAAATGAAATAGAAACTTTAAACTCTGGATATCCAGATAGTAAAGTTTTGATAGAGAAGTAGCAGATATCTTAATTAAAAGAAACTAAATTAAAAAATGAAACCATAAATTATCAAGATCAAATCATAACATTTTCGTGCCTCTCTTACTCGAGTTATCTTTCTTAACAAAGAAAGTTGAGAATTTCAAAATTTTTACGTTGTAACAGTTCTTTTTTCCGTTACACATACCATTTTTTTATTTCGTCAAGTCACGATTCTCTTCGATAAATTGCGTTACAGTAACTTATACAGAATGTTCTGGAAACTCATGATACAACCGGGAAGGAGGATTCTACACGAAAAAATAAGTCGAAAACGTAGAATAAGATATTTTTATATAAGACTTTGTTTTCAGGCGACATTCTTAACAATTTATAAAGTAATAAAGTTCATCGTGAATATCTTGTTTTATTGTATATTCTTGATTATTAATATACAATACATACAAATATGAGCAAAGATAATTGAGCAAAGTCAATTTTCTCGTAAGCCTCACATGAAAAAAAATTTAAAAAGAAGACTGTTCTACATAAAGTATTATAATAAAATTGTAAAACGTGCACTAAGAGTCCAAATGCAGTTTACAGAGCGTGCAGATATGTAATAACAATACAAAATGTTTATTTATTAAATATTTATAAAATCCTTAAAATTCAATTGAAATTACCTTACAAAAATAAACATTTCAATTTCACTTCAAACCTTTAGCGTAAAAAAATCAATTTATATGAAAAAAATTATTCTATGACTTTCATGAAGTTTAATGACTTTCATAAGTCTTTTTTTAAAATCTCTTTGAAGTTTTATAACTTTTATCTTATGCCTTATTTTTCATGTAGACTCACTCCCTTCGCGATCGAATCACGTTTTCCAGAACATTATGTATGTAGCACTTGTAATGCTTCACAAGGCGAGTTCCTTCTACGCACGCATATAAGAATATATTTATATGCGTCGCTTCTCCAAGTCAAGTAAATTCGAACGAGACTCGAATACGGTAGAAAATTAAATGCAGCAGCTACGTCTTTCTATACGTGGCATCATATCGATTGAGTCCTTTAGAATAATACCTATAATAAAGCTGATTCTTGTTCCCACAGTGCACAGCAATTGAATCTGTCAGGCCTCAATCGAGCGAGTTTGTATAAGTACATGAATGATGTACGCGTAACGAGGAGATGTCGTCCGTTCGCGATGCAAGTTCAGCAGTGCCTGTCAGTTCAGAATGCCGATCATGATATAGTTTATCTCGTGGCTTCTTTACAGTCACTTTTATCGGTGATACTCTTAATGATTATAAAACCGACGAAGTGCCATCGATGATCGTGCCTTTTTGCATTTCACGATCGGTTGCGTCGAGGACCGAGCGCGAACGTTGAGATATCGTGAAGAAACATACTTTAACTTTTTACACCACGAGCAGAAGAATTAGATATGCTATTCAATGTGCTCGCTTTAAAAATTTTGAAGTAAATTCTCTTTTAAAATGCACATTTGGGATAGAATATAATTATAAAATATTCTTTTCAACGAATGGTTTAACTCGTAAAAGTAATTGTTTTACAACGTAGGCATACAGTTATTTGTTACACTTTTATTAAATTAACTTTAAAAACCGTTAAAATCTATTATTTAACGTTTTCTGCTCAGCCAGTTTGTATATCTTATTTGTATATACAAATTATTCTCTTTACAAGTATATAATGATAAAAATGTTATTATTTGTATAGTGTATTGAATTGTTTATTGTTTACTTGATGTTATTTTAATTTTTTATGCCATTCAAAATTTTACATTCAAATGGCATTTATTTATTTACGAGTCTTTTAAAAATTTCGATAACGTTGGTCACTTACAGTGACCATCAGAGCGCCACTAAAAGTCAAGCGCATATCACCGACGACGACCATTACAGTCAGCGTGTCAATTACTTGAACGTGAATTAGGATAGCAATTTATTTTGTTATTAAAAAATTTCGGTTGTATTATATATAACATTTAGAAACAACTGACGATATAACATTACCTTAGATTGATTAGAAAGCTGTACACATGTAACTATATTATGGCTGAATAAAGTGACACAAAGCATCTATAATGTTATTTAAAATAAAATAATATTTTTAGTGAGGGAGTTTTAAGAATAAATCCAAGTAAAATGATTATGCAAGCCTTCGAAAATGTATTAGATTAATGTTATTTGATACACGAAAGAACGAATAGTTGGAGTAATTATTTCGTATAACAGCTGAGAGAACACACTGCAAGCAATGCATTTGATGCATTAACTTATATCTGTGTGAAGTGGAACAGATTTAGTCAAATATGTATACATTATAAATACGTAACTCCATATGAAACGAGTTATCAATAAGTAAAAAGTGACTGTAGCGTAAAATAATTTCTTTATCTTGTTTGTATTTTGTTTTAATGTTTTATCTAATTTCTTTAAATTACTTTATTCAAACAAATTTGTTGAAATTTAAACTTTTCATCGAACAACATAAGTATCCGCTCAATGAACATATAAATTTAAATAAATATTTTTATACTTTTTGACACTTGATAAGCTAATTGTATATAATAAAATTTTATATGTGGATTTTAACGAGTCAGAATTAAAATTTGAACAACGCATTGCATTGTTCATCTTTAATCTTATCGTTATTTATTGTTATAACAATTCAACGCTGAAACTTCTCTCTGTGAAAATTTTGCTGCTGTTTTTTGATTATTGCTATTACGGTGAACGCTCGCGTGCGCAGCCACGCCGCCATTTTGCCATGATAGAATTATCACGATAATCAAGTTAAGTCCATTCGTGTAACTTTGTTAATGCGATAACAGGAACCACTGCTCTCACGCAGACCGAACTATATGGGCAACGAACAACATCTCACCATCTCACCTATGATTGACATCACTGATTAAAATCCAATTGAGAACTATTAATGAAGCTATTAAATAATAAACACTGTGTACAGGCACGCGCGTGAATGTGAATAGAAGTAAACAAAACGCGAACTTGAATATAATTCTCTCCTTATGTCAAATAAATAAGATATCACAGATGAAGGAAGACATATACTTTAAAATTGAACTATTTTATTTGATATTGATACAAGAAAATTGTAATCATAAATTGTTACAACAAAATTTACAAATTTTCTTAAAATAAAAATTCTAACATTTTAAACTAATGTTATAAGAATTATTTGAAACTATTTTAACATTCAAAAAATGAATTTTTCATGATATAGAAAATAGTGTAAAATATTGATATGTTTAAATAAATTTGGTGTGATGTGAAAAAGGACAATAATAGTTAGGAATTTGAAAGTCTTTAAACGAATTCAGGAAACGAACCATAGCATTATTTTATGAAGTAGTATGAAGATAACTTTAATAAATGATAGCATCTCGTAAGCCTCTTATGAACGATATCTGTTGCCGTTTTTCTTTAGGTGGAAGAATCGACCATGCTCACCATTACAACAACGCTTATCGTGCCCTGGACGAAACTCTAGCGCTGGAGGAAGCCGTTGAGGCAGTTATGAAGGAGGTCGATCTCACGGAAACACTCCTTGTGGTAACAGCGGATCACTCGCACGTATTAACCCTTGGTGGACTGGCAACACTTCGTGGGAATCCCATATTCGGTGAGCCACATATTTCGCCCTTATGTTAGTACATTGTATCCGCCATTGAGCTTGAATGGAGCATTTCTGGTTCTTGGAATAGATGCAACAATAAATGTATCAATAAATAACTGGTTAAAATAATAAGAAAGAGAAAAAGATTTAAAAAATGATCAAATATAAAATTATATTCGTTAACTTTTTTTATCTTGAACTATAAGATTAAATTTAAATTTTCCTTAAATTTATACAAAAATATACTATTTTTTAAGTGACGAAATAACGATTTGTTTATTAAATGATGTTTACACTAATTAAAAATTGATAATACTACAAATTTTTACTTTTGAAGTGTATAATTATCATTTCCTATGATTACAAAAATAAATGTAGATTTAATGATTATTTATTAAATATTAATGATGATAAACACTTTATTTTTGCGTCTATCCTATTTTTAATCCACAATTAAATTATATTCATAAATCAAAGATACAAATGAGTATACACTCATCAGCACGATCTTGCTGCGTTCTTTTTTTTTCTGTGATTGAACTCGAAATATTTCAAGATTTCATATATAATATCTTGATATTTATTTCTTTTATTCGGATTTGTCGTTTAAGCTTTAGAGCGAATACTGTATCTCTGTCTGAATTAATAAAATCTGTGCGATCCAGACGACCAGTTCCAGCTGTCGTAACTCTTCCCACTGTTTAAAAAGAAAGCGTTCCTTTCCATTGTTGCCTGGGTCTCGACTTCCAATATCCGGGAGGGATGCGCCGGCAACCGACTTTTGCCCCGAAAAGCTGCCTCGCAGGAAACATTATTGAATCACCCGCGCGAATTAATCGAATGAATTGCCAGGAGTCTATGTTGTCGGCAGAGCTTAAGCGCAGCTTACACGGCGCTTTCTATAATCATTAACCAAGTATAGGCAACTTAAGCTAGAGCTCGGTGCTTTACGATTTAACTCATTTGCGGAACTTCGACAAATTTAATAAACACTTTTGATTGTTTTGAAACCGTTGATTGCACGTTTCTCTACGGAAAAAGTAATAAGAAATAAACGATGATAACAGCTACAAATAAGTTAGCAGATGCGACCACTTTTAATAAAACATAAAGTAAAGAATAAAAACAAGAACTATTCGTTTAAGCAGAATATGATGTTTAAAAAGTACCACGCTTATTGTCAGGATTTTTTTAACATAGTATGTCTTCACTTTCAAGTTGCAGGAAAATTGAAGAACTTTATTGGAAGATAAGAGAATTTCAAAAAATATCGAAACTGTTAAAGGTACATCGAGTACTTTAGATTTTTACAAATTGGCCCGCTAATTAAACCGAAATACTTTTACTCTGTAAAATAATGGTAAAATACCGTACTATATGCTGCAAGTTCTGACACAAAAATGACAGTTCGCGCGGTTATCTAGTTTTAGCATCTAACTGACAGTTCATTGAAATTCTATCAAAACCCGCGCTTTGATGGATTATTTTCTGTTACAACTAATTTTCTGTAACATCCTGATAAAAGTGACTACCTTATTCCAGGTTCCTAATCTCCAGTAAAATCTCCCTTAGCGCAATATATTTTTGCTGAACACTGAGGAAAATGGATTCTGATTGAAAATGGAACGAATCAGAAGTTTCTGATTATATCGGAATACCGGTTATCTCAATTAAAATTTAGTAAATTTAATCAGCAAATTCTAATTCGTCCAACTAGAATTAATTCAACCAAACCTTTTTCTCGGTGAACTTTTGACATATTTTCGGATAAACGCGCTATTTGCCTACAAACGAAAATGTCGTGTGATCCGCTTTATGGAGATCGTCCTTCGGAACAACTCATTCCTTTCGTTTCTTTCGATTACCCATTTTCTTTTGCCGACTATTAGCCAATAAATGAAGAACAGACTTTGCGTTTTGTTTCATTTTTTAATTAGAAATGGTGTGTTCAGTGTAGAATGATATATTATAAGCTACTCTGAGATGTTCAGAAAGTATTTTTTATTGTTAATTTATATGGTGCAAAAACATAGACGTTTTAAAGTGCATTATGATTTTTTACTAAAAATAAACAAAATGCATTTGTTTAACATTTTTAGCATTTTTGTTAAGTAATTTTGTTTAATATATTTAATATTCTACTGATTGACATATTGTTATTTTCTGAAAAGTGCGTAGTTTTCTTGTGTGCGTAGTTTCTTTCTTTCTCGTTTTCTGAAAATTACAAATTTTGAACAAAACGCATTTTAAAAGTCTGCTCCTCAAATGACGACATATCTATCCATAGCGAACGACGCGAAAATGTTCAATCGTCGGCAATCAAAAGTGAACTCTGCTCGTCCGTGACAACTTTTTCGCGACGTTAAATTCGGCATGACCGTTTGTCTCTCCTTCTGTGTGTGTCGTGGTGCCAGGTGTTGACTCGAGATTCACAACGGACGTTAACGTTCATGTCGCAATTCAATACTGAATAAGCGACGCGAGCACACTGTTTTATGAGGACGCGAGTTCGTTCCCATCAAGTAGAGGAAGGTCCGTTCCGTCCTTTCCAGGAGGACAGTTCTGGATTCAATAAGATCCAATCTACTTGGACAACTTCATGACGGCACCCGTCCGTTGACGATTCGCTCAGTCGCGGTTAAATTGAATCGTTGGAAAACGTAAGGATGGCTTTTTCGGCTGACCGTACATGAAATAGCAAAAGGGCTCGCTCGTCTAGTCTATCTGAAAGCAATTGAAAAAAAAAAATAAAATAAAATAATCCCGGCCTGAAGCGCTTCCGTTTTCCGAAATTCGCCGATCCAGAATATTATCGTATATTTCTGTACTTCGTTCCCAAAAAATTGTCGAACATCCTGTTGCACCATTGAGAAATTAATCCGGTTACAATCCGTTTGTATGACTTTGCCTTTATTACGAAGGATTATTGTTTTACGGAGCGTGTTATGTGAAATTTGATATACATACTTTTATTTGTCAATTTTTATTTTGTTTTCTTTTTTCATAAACAATGCAAACATATATTTTCGTTCCAAAATCAAAACTAACGAATTGAAAAACACATACCTAAAATAATCAAAATTTTTATTTTGTTTTGTAATTTTCGGTTATAAATGAATTAATTCTAAATTAGTGTGAAAAGTTTGTTATACTTATCGAATAAAGAGTTAAAATAAAATTTTATCAAAATTAAAACAAAATTTCCACGCGCTTCAATATACTTTTTATCTCTTTTTTTATCCCGCGAGAAAAATTTGTCAATTCCTCTTTTGAATAACTTTGGATTTCTAGTTTTATTTAATACAGAGGTTGACAAAAATGATAAATTACTTAACAGTATCTCTACTGTACAGTATTTATATAATAAACATTTCTGACACCCGATAAATTGAAGAGAAGAGTAGCACATGACCGTTGATGCAGATCGTTTATTATGTAGAGTGGTATTCAGAATTCGGAGACAGTTTTAACAAAGAGATGCACGTTTATGCGAGTAGTGCAATAATTTTTAAGTATATTGATATTGCAAACTTGCGTTCCGTAAATTTTCCAACCGATCCACGATGAATTAACTGAAATTACTCGAGTGGAAGATATCCAATAATGCAATCCCTCATCATGATTATACTCAATAACATTCCGCATGATTTAATAGAAATTTATATCTATGCTTGATAGCAAACATAATCTATACGAGATAGCTTTGTTAATTAAATAGGTCACTATACGAGCCGACTGACGCTGTGACCTGACGCGGCTATTTAGCAATTAATTAGGAATGTTTTGTAAAATGGACTAAAGAAAGTTTTATTAATATATACGAATCCAAATGTGGCCATATCAAGACTAAATTAACATTAAAAATGACGCGAAAAACCATAATTTTAAAAGTTGTTATGACATTGTAATACCAACAATAAATTTATTATCTAAATTTTGTAATTTTATGTAAAAGTATCAATTTATAGCTTTAGAACACATTTTGTTTCGCTTTGGATTTTTTTGTTTTCAAAAACGAAAAATTATGTTGAAACAAAACAAAATGTAGTTTAAAAATAAAATTTGTTGCTTTTGCATAACACTAACAAATTTTAGAAAAAAACTACTGCTATAACGTTCATTAAAACACTTAAAATTTTTGACTCTTTTAATGCCATTTTTTGCAAAATTTTGATATAATCAAATTTGCACAACAGATTTAATTTAGAATAATGATGGTCAGCAGATTAAAATTGAAAAATATATCCGAAATGACAATTTATACTTGTGAAAAAAATAACATTGAACAGAATTTACTTTTATCACTAAATAAAAAATCATATTACGTTCAAATAAATAAGACGATATCAATATATTACTTCGAAAAGTAATTTATACTCTGCTCCAGTCGTTATGTAATCGATATATCTCGCAGAAAGGCTCACGCCGATTCCACTTTTCCCATTCGTGTTGATTGCCATCAATAAATAGCGGTTGTCGAACCTCGCAGTTTGTTCACTGCACCGAAAACACGGTATTGGACGCTTTTAATTTTTGGCACGTCAAATTTCGTTTGCATTTATAATTGAAAAAAAATCGGGTAACGCTATATGGACGTATCGGTGTCACCCATTTCTGGACGGTGCGCCAATGCCGACCAACATTCAGCTCGAATTAGATGTGATATTGTGCAATTTCGTTTCTAAATTAAAACCATGAATATTTTCATATTTGAGAAGTGAATATAACACCCAGAAATTCTATCGGTGTTCCGTAATTACACACTCGTCATAGGAAAAGTTGTCACGTAGCCATAAGGCTCTGCATCGCGTAAATTATGTAGAAAAGTTCGCATTTCTTTACGCGAAAAATTTAAATTTGTCACTTGATCTAAATAAAGGCTCGAAATTGAAAAGCTTAACTTCATCCTAACTATACCGTAATGCAATTCGTGAGTTGCCGCAACAGCGGTTTCGCATCATTTCGGTAAAATGTGTTTGTCGCATCGAAATTTCGAAACGAGAATT